ATTCATAGCCTCCACTCTTCCTGTTGGTTTTTGTATCTGTGCTGTTTTGTGCGCTGACTGCATGGCAGGTGTCCTCAGCATACTACTCTTCATCTCAGCGTTATATATCTGAAACAAGCTGCCTTTGAGCTCACAAGTAAACCTTTATCCTGTTTACATTTTACTATAAATCACCAATTTACAGCTCCTGTGTCGATTTTGGGGACCATTGTGGACAAAGATGGGGTTTTTTTTTGTCTCTTAGCTGATTTTATCCTGCTCTTGTGTAATAGCTCTTAATGATTAAAAATCTATTCTTGGGGATTTCCTGAGGTAAGACGTGATGTAAAAAAAACAATACAGAAGTAGCGGCCGATGCAACAGAGTCCGCTACACGATGCTGTAATGAGAATATTTGCCTTTATATCAATGCTATGTGTAATCCAATGGAATGACAACATCCACAAAAGAGTGGAGAACAACATACTGATGAATAGAAAACATAATGCAGCCGTTTAGTTACATGCACGGAGATCGTAGTGGTCGCTTGCAGACACTTTAGGCAGTCACTTTATAAACGGCACTCGGGTCCCATTGGCTCGGAATTGAAATCTCCGGAGTATATGCCGCCGCGTTCAGACATCAGCTCACTCGGATTTTCTGCAGATAAAATACTAGGGGTCTGGACGGAGAAACTCCGGTTAAAGTCTGCGCGAAAAATGCGGCTGTTTGTGTTCACACATATAAATAAATCCCCTCCGGGTAGCCAAATCTCCAGAGTTTTTCAGGAGATTTCCGTATGTGTGAAAAGGGTTAGTGACACCTGTTGCCTGAGTCTGTTGAAAGATAGAAAATGTTTCCAACCACATGCTACAAGGCTCATCTTCCATCTTATCACTCTTCAACATCAGCTTCCTTTAATGGATTTTAGTTTGCTCTTTCTGTGAATGGGTCTCCGTGCTGTGTAGTGAGATGGGAATGCTCATGGAATCCTCCTGACCTGGTTTTTCACTGTATGCACCTCAAAGCAGGAGACTATCCCGGTCAGACAGGAAGAAGGGGGGGGGGGGGCAGGGTGTCTCTTGGGGCTAAACATGGCGTAGAAAGTAGACATGGAAGTAGCAGACGAAGCAACAGAGTCATAATGAGAATGTTTGCCTTCATTTCAATGTCACGTGTAGTGCGACAGAATCAAAACATCAAAAAGAGAGCGTAGAAGAACATACTGGAGAACAGAAAACACAAAGCAGCCGTTTAATTACCTGCACAGAGATCGTAGCTCTCAGCGTGCAGACAGTCTTTGGCTGTGCAACGATTGCAGGGAATAAACATCACCTGCCCCCTCCCACTCGCTCCTCCTGATTACATCCTGCTGCGTTCTAACATCAGCTCACTCACACTTTCAGCGGAAAAAAATACGAGGGGGCTGGTAAGAGAAACTCCTGATAAAGTCAGAGTGAAAAAGACAGCTGTTTGCGTTCACACATGCAACTCCTCCTGGAAACATCATGGAGTTTTTCTGGAGTTATGCAAGTGTGGGAGCACTATGAGCTGACGATTCAGACTGGAATACTATTATCAGTATTTGCTGAAAAAAATGTAGGATATGTGCCCTGGAATGTATACGATACAAGTTACAGACATGGTGTTTTGAACAGGATTAAATCATAGACGTCCCCTGCAATTTTTGCAAATTATCTGCGATTCCTAGGTAATACTATTCCTGTGGGAATAGGGCTTACATTTGTTAATTGCATATTATTTTAATTGCCTAAATAAAGGACTGCTATAACTTGTATCAGATGTATATATAATTGGATAAACGCACATTAGTATTGTGTTTGTTTCTGTTACATAGCATATCCATTGTGATAAAGAAATGCTTACTTACTGTAGGTCTTGATATTTTGCATCAAATACTATGTTGGAGCCGTGATTCCACACACAAACACTCACTGCCACACACACACGCACACACACAGTCCAGCAGGTCCTTGTGCTGAGTGTAATTATGCAGGTTTGATGACAGCTTTTCCATTAAGCCCCTCTCCAACAGCCACTCTTCACTAGTTTGATTGCACTGTAAATGACAAAGAACTAATTAGCATGACAAGTATTCTTTCCACTGATTGGCTACAGACCAAGAGTCATCATTACAATACTCAGCTTCTCTAAGGACCCACAGATTCGTCAGTGCAGTTTGTTGGGCTCTTGAGGACTGTGAGAACAGGTAAAGAGAGAACAGGTTGCTGCTCGCATGTCAAGTTTTGGTTTTTATACCTGACAAAAGATATTTTGTCACTGAGGATTTTTTAATGTCAGTTTATGATACACCTGCTTTAACAAGGTTTGAGAAGCAGCGTCAAGCAATGTATCATGATAACAGTCATTAATCTGTGGGGAAATAAACTCAACAGGTGCTAACAATTGAGTAGCAAGCATTTTGTAATTAATGGGTGCATGACAGGTTCATATTTGATTTCACGACGGCGTAGTATCCTTGTTCCAGCCTTTGAATTCGGGAGCTCGGCACAACAGGAGCTCCACATAGACACAGAGTCAGACATGCACAAACACAGCACTGTGCTCCCCCGCTGGCTAAGCTCATACCGTCTCGCCTCTGTTACTAACTCTGAAGACTACACAAAAGGGGGTCTATACGTCACAAACGGCGGTCTGAATAGGGCGACTGACGCAAACTAACTTTCAATCAACCTAGTAACACGGGAAAGGCTGCAGCCAAGGCACGTCTTCTCTCAGAAGACAACTTCTCTCAGAACATATTTCTCTGGCAATTTGAGTCGCCGTGTCACCACTTCATGACTCCTCACAGCGGCGCTTTTGACATGAACGAGTGTAACGTGAACAAAAGTTCATTGGAGGAAGTTGACAGTGGGATAATGTTGACGGGGGTTGCTGTACTTTTTTGAAAGAAGTTGTTGACTGCTGCTGAGTATTCTTATAATTTATTTACATCCAAAGGCAAACTTTTCTGAGCTGTTGTGATTGTCTGTTTCTTCATTTTACAGAAAATAAAGTGCCTGCCCAGAGAAATGTGTCGGCTCTAGTCAGCCATCCAACTTTCATTCTCCCTCTTTTTTTTCCTCTTTTGTCAAAACGTATTTTCCAGTGCCGTCTTCTGTGTACTGTAGATAATTGGCAGCGGTTGCATACACTCAATCATCTTCTCTGGTGAAAGTTTTTGTGTTGATTGTGCTCAATACCTCAAAGTGAGAAATGCTTACAGCAGGTCTGCTTTGCCTTTTACTTTTTTTAGTTTAGTTAACTAGTTTTTTTAACAAACACTGTTCGGCTGATGCAGTGTGTGTTCTTTTGCACTACTTTTTCAAGAGTGTGTTATTGCCTCTTAGAAAGTGAAAGAGTTAAACGTGTGTGTGAATTTCCCTTTTACTTATGCAGACTCATGGGAATGAAATACCTTATTTTTATACCCCCACTTTTATGACAGCCGTTGTCCAATACATTAGCTTTCCTCATTGAAATATTTTCAATTTGGCAAAAACTTTTCCAAGTACTCGAGAAGGAACTGATGAACACTGTAATTTGGTGGTTCTAGGTCGTTGTCACGGTGATCCCTCCCTAAAAGAATGATCTGGATTAACTTTTGAAACATTTTCACACTAATAGCTAATAGTTTGAAATAATGAAATACTATTGTTTGTCACATCCAATATTTCACAACCTCATAGACATATTGAAGTATCTGGGATTTTTTTTATGTTTCTATCAGTTCAAAGAAAGGTGACATCTGCATTCACCCTGAGGACAAAATCCACTTCTCCTCATGTACCATGTGATGTTGTCATGGGAAGCGTCGACTCTCAATCACATGCCTTGAAAAGAGAGAGAGAGATACTGTACATGCTCTGTTCTTATTTCAGTGCCGCAGACTCCTCTGTTTAATGTTGGCCCACAATGCACTGTGGTTTTGTTTTGTAGGCTTTTGTATTCTTTCAGATATTATAAACAAATATATTCCCCGTCCCCTAACCCAGCACACTACAAACCACAACTGTTTGTACAGTAAGAAGCAGAGGATAATTTAAAGATGAGAACAATGTTACTGTCAGTTCGATCAAATGAAGCGTCTTTATTCCAGCTCACACGGAGCTCCTTTATTTGGACCTGGAGGAATGTGTTTGACTGTGAAGAAGGATTAGTTTTTGTTTTTCTACACAGGTTTTATTTCAGCCTGTCATCATGGAATGCAACGTGTAGTGTTGCTGCAGACTGTAAGGCCAAAGCCAAACAAGTACTATGACTGTGTGACTCATTCACAGACCATTAAAAGAGCCGATATAATACAACGAGTGCCATACCATTACAGCAACTTAACAGACCAGAGGTCGCAGAAGAGCCTTTAAAGATTGATGGCATGTGGTCAAATATTCAGATGTCTGCTGAGAAGATTCCTTCTGCTGAAATCATCAAGGTGCCGGCTGTGGGAAAAGCTGGGCTTTGTGTCCTGACTGTGAAGCACGGTGGCGAGAGCACACAAGCCCGCTATTATCACCTACAAAAAAACAAAAATGAAATCCCATACCAACTAGGACAAAACCAGGCTTGAATCCATTTACAAGATGTTCTGGAAAATGTGCAAGAAACAATAAGACAAAAGGAAATCCCCTAAATCCAGATTTGCTATGACAGTGCATACATATCCAGGAAGAACCAAATCTTTAATTCCTGCAAAAATATTTGACATCGCTGCATAAAGAAAAAGACTGACAAAGAAATTGGGCTTTTTTTGTGTGCGGAGGATCTTGCTTGAGGAGTATAATTTTGACTATCGACAAAAAGTAATTTATTTGATCAGAAATTCATGAAGGTATTAGAAGTCTAACAGTGCGTGAGAGAGAATCTGAGCAGCTCATCTCCTGGTAGTAAATTTAATATCTTTGTGACCGATGTTAAATCCTCACACAAAGCCGACTCGGAGACACTTCTTCAGGCAGCGTCCTAACTGTAATTTTCCATTTTTGTTTTTGTCCCCCCGACAGTTGGCCCTGGAGGACCCGGTGCACAGCGTTTCTCTGCAGCAGTACGTCTATGAGAAGCTGAAGGCGCAGCAGGCCCTGATGGGGGACCAGGGCTTCGGGGCCCTGATGGAGACGGTGGACACAGAGATCGTCAGGCAGCTCCAAGAGTTCCTACAAGGCCTCTGAATCACGTCGAAAAAAAAATCCTTCACTACCGTTTACGAACGTCAGATCACATGCGCTACCCCACATCTTTCAAACTGTACCGGAGAGGCGTACAACCTGCCTGATGTGCGGACCCCATATCCAAACCCTTCCAACCTCCTCCCATGCTATGCCTTATCTATACTCTAGCCTTGTTGACTGTCCCTAGCTAACTCCACTCGCCCATTTCTCTATTATCCTCTATTTTTTTAATCTACATGTGGTCAATGTGGGTATTTAAAAATGTCTTAACACCCACATCAAAACATCACCACACCAGAGCTTCCACTTAATTCCTCTAGTTTCTTCTCTTTCTGTGGTTTGAAGGTAGAATGGGACGGATGGCGTAAAGGTAAAGACGGGCTGAGGAGTGCAACGGAGAATTCACCTGCTGGAGCCTCGGACTATTTTCTACAGAAAAACGAACAGATTGTAGCAGAAATGTGGGCAAAGCGTACCTAAAGGACCTAAAGCAGTGTTTACAGAATCTATTCTTAAAAGAGGAAGAAAAAGAAATTAATTTTGTACGTATGTAAAGTATGGATGATGTTCTGCATGACTATGTTTGACTTTTTAGTTACTTTTTACTTTGTGTTCTTTTCTCTTCCATTAAAACAAAATTTTAATTTTGCTAGAGGTCAAGTTGAAGAAACTACTGAGAAGACTAGAAAGTGTTTTTTTTCTCTTCATAATTTTGATTTCATGGGAATTTTGTCTTGACTTTGAAATGGTTGATTTTTATTGTGAGAGTGCTGAACCACATTTCTATGTAAATACATACTGCTGCTAATTGATGGTGTGTGAGCGCACTTAATAACCAAAAACTGTTTCACATTTGTTCTCAATGGTACATTTTCTCACGTCTTTAAACTTTAACACAGAGGGCCTTTGGGGCAGTGCTGTAGGATGACAGGCCTGTGTCCATTGACGGGACTCTTCACACTGGCAGCGCCAGTGAAAACATGCAACAATGTAAATGAATTGTGTACTGGCATTAGCAGCAGCTCTAGACTTTGAAATTGTAACCCTGAAAAAAGACGAGTCAAATTGATTTCTTCTCCACCATTGTTGTTAAAAGAAAACTGATATCAGAAGTCCCGCCCCTTCTTGATTTTGAATGGCCGGTGAGGGAGAAGTGACAAGCGCAGTGCTGTTCCAAAAGTTTAACTGTTTTCAACTGAGAGCGCAGCGACAGGAAACAGCTGAAAACCCTGAACTGCATTGGTTTTGTATTGACAATGGGCACTGCCAACAATAGATAGATAGATGGATAGATAAACTTGATTGTCTTTCCCAACAGTGACAGAAATTCTCATTTGATGACAATGTTGGTGGACACAGGCCCTAAAGCATCAAGGCCCTCTTATTGAATTGTTACTGTATTTTATTTCTTAATCTGAATTATACGACAAACACGTGACTGTAAATGTAACACACTGTTAAGGTTGTCTTTACAATTACTTTTATTTGAAACAATTGGAGGATTTCTAACCTAACTGAATGGTTTAAAGGTTACATTGTCAGCCAGTGTGACCCTAATGAGTTACAGTATGTAGTCATTTGTGAAGCTGTCCTGATAGTTTTTTATTTTAGTCATCAAGTTTAATTCATTTGATTTAAAAAGTAACCTGTAAGTTTTCTGATATGAATTGATTATTTAGACATTTGGCAAATCCAAAAAGTGAAGAAAAGTCATTTTATAAAATAGATATGTGGACATGTTTTACATAGAAGCAAACTGAAACTATCCATTGTTTGACTATCATGACTCAAATAGTGAAAAACCTGATTAACCCTGGCTCCGCCAGGCCTTTTAAATCATTTCTTCTGGAACTTCCTGGATTACTGTGTTTTTATTTTCTCTCATTCGGTTGGTCACCCTCCCTGTGAGGAGATAATCCTGACACTCGCTCCTTTGACACTGTGATAGAGTTAAGTAGCAGTCAGAATTACAGCCTTATGCTTTCAGCCTTACCTTTCTGACTCTGATTTCCATTTCTTTAGCAGTTACACAGTAGAGGATTTCCATACCTATATTCTGTTTATGATGGTAAATATGAAGTTAAGAACACATAGTAGAGAGGTGTTTTTGAGTCATGTGTTTTGGTTTTGTTTTAATGGGAAATAATCTTGATTGCTTTTTCCAAAGCCTTCAATAAAATGCAGTAATCAGCCAAAATAACATTATGTGTCTTTCTGCAGCTCCTTTTGAGAAGAAAGGTAATTTAAAGGAGATTTATTACACTCACTTTCACCATTAATTATGTCCATCTGGGACACACCTACTGTAGGGCTCAACAGTTGTTCCAAAAGTAGAAATATCATTTTCTCTTTAATGGAATATCCATCCAAGGTAGACACAGCATGAGCTACCTGTGTGTGAAACGATGGTTTATGCTCTTGAACAGTAACTGAACACGTTTGTATGATATTAACCTAATTTATTTCAATTACCGTAACCATCATTTATTCATGATATCGGGGAAATAACTACACTACCCAGGATCATAGTGTCAGAGTGCGTCTCTGTAGGTGGAGTTCACTGTTACCATGGCAATGTTTCCAGATAGTTTTGCTAGCAGGTTAGTCAGCTAATGTTAAAAGAACTAATATTGTTGTTGTGCCTTAATGTACTTTATATTTCCACACAACACAAACTACAAGACAGTGCAACACTTGTATTATCAGTATTCACACTACAACAATGACTAAAGTTACATTTAAGAAGTGATGCCATTCGCAATGGATTGTGGGAAGGGTAGTTTCTTGACTCAAAGAAAAATATGTACAGTCTTGTACCTTTGCCTTTTTTTTTATTTTTACTCAGCTTTCCAATGCCATTTGGGCGCCCAATGAAATGTACTGTAGTCACAGGTATTGGGGTAGCTGCTTGTCTTGGTTCTAGGCTTCAATCTCTTGATATAAGGATGTTGTGAAAAGTCAAAGGAGGATTTGAATGGGGAAATTTACTTACAGAACCAGAGCCCCCGAAAAAGTGGGCAGTCACTGGTGAACGAGTAGAGTAGTAATCGTGTATCTTGTGTTTACAAGCACTTTGCCGAGGTTTAGTAGGGAAGTCCAACATCATAACATTATATGCATGAATTTAAATATGGATCAGAAGAATAGATCTCCTTTAAACTCCAGTTGAGTTTTTGAGGCTGCTTCATATTATGTCTGCTGTCCTGTTCTTCTTTGGATTGGGTTTATTTCAGGCTCGCTAGACTGCCAAGTCGCTTTCCATTTCATCTAGTTTATTTAATTAGTGTATATATCATTTAGTAGTTTAATTCATTGGAAGACAGAGCGAGATCCCTCGTTTTCAAAACCGCTGAGGTATTTAAACAATAAACTAGAACATTAAAAATCATTGGACGCAGTGAGAACATTTAAAATGTTAAAGTTAAAACAATTAAAGTCAATAATTTCAGAAATTAGATGTTGTAATTGTCTCATTGTTGTCTCATCTGTAGTGATTCAAAGTGTTTTGGGGCATAGAAAACGAAAGCAGCTTCCAAAATATATGAATCTTTTTCAGCTTTTTTGGTAAAGAAGACAACGATGTGTCCCAGAGCCGTTTCTGGTAATGAATCTGAGATCTGTGACCTACTGCCTCGGAAGATTTTACAGATGTGCTGACCACCCCTTTGTTAAATATCATTACCATGGTCCACCACAGAGGGGGAAATGCTTCAATCATGAATTTCCTCGTAAATAAAAGAAAACCAGACTAATTTCTGAGAAGAAAGCTCAGTTGTATAAGTTGGAAAAAAGCATGGCAATGTGTCCTTTTTCAAAGTAAGTTTGTCATCAGTCCAATTTCTGAGTTATTTATCATTTTGGACTCTGTTCTGCACTGATTGAATTTTAACAGTATCGAACCTTCAAGGAGGTTATCTTTGACACGTGATCATTGTCCAATAGGCTTTAGTCCCGCCCACTAATAAAAGGATTTATTGCATTTATTGTGCACAGTCGATGTGATGGTTGATCAGCACCTAACATTTTACACATCAACAGATGTACAGTAAGGTTTAGAGAAGCTACCACTCTATTTCATTTGCAGTAAACTAGACAGACTGCTTTATACTGTCTCCTAGACTTGTCTCTAACATACTCACAATAACCTTAACACTGTCACTCTGGACGTGTGAGCAAGTTATTACAGCAAAGCTCTTGTGTGTAAAGTCCATAAATATGGGAAAATGTTGAGTTGTCAGTGACCTTAACTAAAAAGTGAAAAACAGTCGGTAAGAAAATAAGAAGGAAAAACATAAAGTGTGACTTCTGATGGATCAGAAAACCAATACTGCCAGTTTCCATACACACAGTTGCTCTGCACAAGCTACAGGCAGCAGGCAGCACATGCAGCAGCAAAAGTAGAAAGGTAAAGTAGTTTTTTTTTCAATGTAATTTTAAACCTTTTTCTGTATTTGGAGCAGAAAGGAAAGAGAGGAGGGAGAAGTGTGTGACACGTAACAACAATCAAACCCACAGAGCTCAGCCCACCATGTTGCAGTGGCCATATATCACACACTGTTAATAGCAAAGCCCAAAAACATCCAGAGCAATTTCCCAATGAGTGACAACTTCTCACTACAGTTTTGCTACGGATTGCTTTTCTTCTTTTGCCAAAGCAATAGAAAACAAACCCAGCAGTTGTCAGCATCAACCCATTTGTCTCGAGTGCTCGAGTAATGTACTAGCAGAATCTGGTCATTTGGCCGGATTATAGAGAGGGGAACGGTTCTACACACGTCTTTACCTCCCTCCCTGCCTTTTCTGTACCTCCAGCACAATTAATCCAAGGAACTCGGTCATTCGTCTTTCTTCTCCCACTCTTTCATCCTCCCTCGCATTACACTTCTCTTACCACTGTAGTCCTTAGGAGAAAGATAAGACCTGCTGGTACAGTAGACCAGCAGCGAGGCTTCCTGTTAATTATATTATGGGATGCACGGCAGAGGAGAGCTGGAGAATTAGCTTTAATCTTTAACATGTATCCTTCATTTGATTACTTTCTACCTCCAAGATTATAATTACACAGCAGCATGTTGACCTTGTAAACTTTATATAATTGGCAATTTCCTTATTCATGCTCCTGTACTTATAGACATTTATCCATACGCTTTCTTGGATAATCTAAGTATTTTTCTTCTTAAGTTTTATGCTCATGAAGAGCTGTAAATGCAACTGTTTGCAGCTACTAACAAATATGTTGTAGTGTTCAGTCATTTAGCCTTGAAGTCATTCGTGGTGTGTGTGAAGCTCTCCAAAAAGACAGAGCTTTAGAGAGGTAAAATAAAAGTGTTAACAATGCAGGTTGTGGGTTTTTTTCTGTTAGAGGAAGGGGAAAAGAGCCACAGGCCAGACTTGAACCCAGGCCGCCCCCCTTGGAGGGCCATTTCTTTGTACATTGGGCGCGACCTAATCGCTTTTTTCAACAGTTCAACTCATCAAGAATCTTTGCCTTGGGAAATATTCTTCTAAAAAATACTTCTTTTGACAGCTTGCTGTTTATCACTTCATCTAACACCTACCCTGCAGCAGCATCTTCAGGCATTCATAATAACAGTATAGAAATAAACAATGTTGTTGTTGAGGATATTTACTGCTTTGGCTTTAAATTACTTGAGATGTATAAGTTACATGTCAAATTAAAAATCAGCTGCCAAACATATGTTAGCTAGCATTTAAACAGTACTTCAACATTAGGTGTTATGCTTTGTCTCATTTCTTCTCGCTGAAAGTTAATTTAGAGGAATGCACTCCTCCATCCTGCTACTCTGTTGTTTATGATTGAAGTTACAATACTGTAACATCTTTTTATCATTAAAAAACTATCAAATGCTTTCCCAATGTCATCCAGAAGCTGTGACCACACATTGTGTCTCATCCTTCGGAACTGGTTGTTTTCTCAAGATCTCGATCTCTTTATGTATTAGGGGAAAAACATGTGGTTTCCCATCCTGATGATGGTGAGTGAATTTTTCTAGATCTCAAAAAAACAACACAAATAACCTATAACGGGGTAAACAAGCATTGTTATCCCGAGATAATGAGATCTTGAGATCAAACTGGAGTAAAATAAAATGTATGGATACATGTCCTTAAAGGGCTTCAGTAGGATTACCCTATTTTCAGAAGTATTCTTTGGTATTAAATGAGTTATCACCATGCGGTTTCAATCACAGGGAATATAATTTAACTTTTCATCTGTGCATGTAACATCATTTTTGCTGATCAGACACATTACCGTTAAAACTTGTTTTTCGCTTCCACATGTGTGTAGCTTATAGAGACTACAGCAGGGTATCATCCTAACCAGACTAACTCAGTATCTTTGTGCAAAGTCATCTGGATAATTTAAAGATATGGATAACTGTCAAGACCCGGATCTTAAGGCCTGACAAAATACAGAAACGTACGGCTTTTAACAATGTTTTAAGGTTTATTGTCCAAATGTCCAAATGACCAACAACAAACAATCCACTGTTGCAGTGGTGCTACACCGAGGATGAAGGCTACAAAGTGAGGTTATCAACCCCGTCTTAAATAGCCTGCACCTGGGAGACTGGCCACGTCTGCCCAGGTGCGGCGGAACTCCGCCCAGCAGCAACCTGCAGGGACACAAGACACACAGACAGAAGGGAAACACAATAAGCAGGCCCTGCTGGCGGGAGGACTGTCACCATAACATACCAGATACAAGCATCAATCAGTTTATCCAACTCTCAACAAGAATTCATATGAGCACATTTTCCAAGTACAGAAAGCACAACCTTTAGTTTTTAAGAGATAGATTTGATCCATTTGTCTCTATTTGATCCATTTGTCTCCATTTGTCACACGCTGCATTTGAGAAATGTGATTCCATAGTATGAATTTAAGAAGCTTGTCATTTATTTTATTGCAGATACATTGTGTAAATGTAATAATCCATATGAGTCAATGCATATAACTTTCAACAAAATAAAGGTGACAACTCAACAGTCTATGGTGTGCCTTTGACTGTGCTTGTAGATACAGTATATGTGCTAAGTTCTGCAAACTTTAGTATCCCATCGTCCTTTCCCGTTGAACAAATGCACATGTGCAGCTGTGTTCACAGATGCCTCCTGCTGGTGTCTTTCCCTCTGACATCCATGACAGAATGTCTCTTTCCTCTGCATCTGTTCAATG